GGAATACACTGCAAGCGTTTGAGTAGTGTATTGAATGCATCTGTCTGAGGCAACATCATCAGCAAAGCCGACAGGACTGCCGCCAGGGGACGCTGATGTTTCGCATCCAGCAAATCAAGCCGCACATCTGAAGTATTTTCTTCTTAAGCAAAGGTATCGTAAAAAATTCTGGCTGCTCTGAAGTGAAAAAACATACAGGAGAGTATGGGACTTTCGATGAGTTGCACAAGACGATCGATTTCAATCAGCACACCAACTGTTACATCCACCTTCCAGAGATGTCGCGCCAACACACTTGCATGTTCGTAATTCTGTGATAATATGCACAGACCAAGCAATGCAATCGGTTGAAAGGCCCATGTACGATACAAACATTCGAACAAATTTACACACGCCTAAAAGTTCTCCTAATCATAGGGAAAAGATTTATTTATGCTTTGAATTCCTGCAGCATTTCGTTCATTTCTTGAACACTATTTGCGGCGAGAACTACGTCAAATACCTAACAACTAATTTGAAATACTATTCAGAAAACCAGAATTGAAATCAAGGAAGAAAACCAAAATGAAATATTACATCCGATTCGAGTGCTCTCAGCTGCTTCCTCATCTCAAAAAGCTCAGCTGATGTGAGTAATATGCCATTCAGTACAGCGACCATTTGTGACACGAATTCCTTATCCTCATATTGCAACAGGAGCACCGACAAACAACGATAAATAGAATCCGAGCCCAACAGAAGGCACAGCTGCCTGAAAAACCTTTGAACTGCAAAAGAACAACGATTTCTCCAACACAACTAGCGACTCCTCGATAAAGCAGCACGAACCTGATGATTAAAACACCTCTGTCATTTCGCAACGCCGTATCACACTGGAACATTGTTAGCAAACTTGAAGCAAATTTTACCAAGTACGGCGATAGACCTGAAAGCTAAAAAAATAATGTGAATAAGTCAAAGAAAAATTCAACTTATCAAAAAACTGCTTTATGGGACTCGAAAAGATATATCAATTATGCTGGCGGACCTGCTGTGGCGGCAAATAGGCTAAAGTCCGATCAAAGCCATTCCTATTACTTATAATAAACTGCTGTTCATTTGCTTCGACGGTACAGTGTTACTGGCACAAGTCTGGAAGTCGAAACTGTAATCGCCTTGCCTCTAAGTAATCCTCGATAAGTACATCACCAAGCTTCCCACAAACGCATGATTGATATTGGCACATGCTACCACTCACTCCACCTCGAATGTCTCCTTTCACAGACTCATCAGAATCTTTTCCGGTAAATCCAACACAATGGAAAACTGCTACGCCAAACATCTACCATCAACAAGCGTCAATCTTTCACTCTATCTGCTCCATCAATATAATCAACAGATCGATCCTCAAAGATATAAAATGGCTTAGCAGCAAACCTGCTTCAGGGTACTCTCGGCAAGATGGAGTTCGTGCAGCTCCACACCACCTGTATTTTTTCCTTCACATATTTCAGAGAGCAATTGCAAATCCAGCAACAGCACATCGTCGCATGTATCCGAAAGCAGAGAAAGAAGCAGTGGGAAGATGCGATCCATGTACGTAAATAACTGCAAGCAAACTTCCTTGCATTTTCGAGCTCCCGTGAATTATCATTTTCATAGCTAAATATGTCGATTCTGTGGATCACATGGGAGATAAGAGTTACTTTGGCAGCAGCAGTGCGATGCATCTGACTAATCCAGTTGAGAACAGCCATCCTGGTGTCCCTATTTTCGTGTTTGATGTGTTTCAGCAATACTTTGATAACCGCGTCATACTCGATGTCGGTGTCCCTCGAAGAAAGCATCTCCATTAGGCGAACATTAATTTCTTTCGCTACAAAATACTCATTTTTTTTTCATTTATTTTCTTTGGACAAAAATGAGGGCGGAAAAACTATTTACATGAAATGATCACTATCTGAAACAGCACTGATCAAAGCGACTTTTCTGGTTACTCTGACCAGCACAACATCCTGTGGTAGTCGGTTTGATCTCATACCACATTACAAACTAACAGTCTATTGCATAAATCAATTCAAATCATCCGCTGCACGCATCAGGTGGGCCGGCGCGGTTATACGTTTTCGCACTAGTTTGTGCTGTAGCGAGATAGCTTGAACGAGGTGCTTCTGTCTCACTGTTTTGATTATGGATATTTTTTGGAGATATTTCGCTAGTATTGCGCAATCAGTGATAATGCAAATTTATATAATTATGAGAGGCACAGCTCGTACGCAGAGTATGACGTGAAGTGCAAGAACCTGAAGTGAAATTTGTCTAACTAGCTGAATTTGGTAGCTGAAATCAGTCGAGGCATCTGCGAAGAAATGTCATGAACGAGGACTAATTCTACATCTTTGGGGGTCAGAATGAGATGAGTAAATATCACGTAAAAATTCATCAACCTAACAAAGGTTCAGGAGAAGAAGATTGTCTAAAGTATGTAACATTTGATGTATCTAAGTATGAGACATGAGCCGCAGATGCCATTTTTGTGTGTACGAGTTCGCACTTAAACAACAAATTTCTTCATAAACGTGAAGCTGAATTTCTTCATAAAGGTAAAGCTACCCAAGTAGTGTAATTCGCTGCCAAAAATTGTTTGAAGCAAACTCATAGGACCATGCACTACTTTTTTTCCCCATTTAAAGTAGACGTTACTACTGAGTGCGCATTGCGATGGTCAAGTAGTTCAAGGCAGAAAAATCAAAAATTAAAAGTATATTTTAGTGAAATTTGAGGAAGTGGCAACAAACTGCAATTAAAGCAGGAATGCTTCGGTCCTTGCAGTCATGCACATCCCTCTTGAGCACCACAGCTGGACCACGTTAGAATGATGCATCCCACAAAGGTGACAGAATGAATGAGATCAATGCATACCGAAGAAATTTATGCATATGCAGGTTTCAAGAAACACAAACCTTTGAGCTGGGGATCACTGAGATAAGGTAGCACAGCAGTAAGATATGACGAAAGATATTGCAATGGAGCAACGGAGTCCATCTCCAAGAAACGATTCAGCCAAACAAGGGCGGTCATTCGAGTGAGAGTGCTTCCTTCTCCGGAAGCGTGAACAATAAGCACATTGATCATATCATCAAGTTCGGCCTATGAATTCATGCATTTCAAAAATAAAAATGTGTCCGATGCTAGCTTTCTCATGTAACCAAATAAGCCGCGCTTGTGCAACTGAAGATGACGCTGGGACAGCCGCAGCTGAGGTGAAAATTCACCCGGAAGTTCCAGAAAGGGCGAAACATTGCTGGGTGCACCTGTAGTACGAAGAGCTACAAAACCAGGCTGGAACGCACCAGGCAGACTGGTGCAATCATGCGTTTTTGCACTTTCGTGCCCTAGCAAGATTTCAACGAATCGCAGTAGATAGCCCTGTGACTAGCCTTCGAAATTCGGGAAGTTAATTGTGCAGCTATGTGGCACGTCAGTTGCAAATGACGACTTCAGTGACCCGACAAACAGAAAGTTGTTGGTCCGTGAAAAAGGCCCTAGTAGAAGAGTTAAATTTGAAATCTCTTGGTTGCACATGAGCAGAGAACATTCCTTTAAAGCCCTCCAGCTTTTCCCTTTCCCGAATTGGCAATTCTTCCGTAAAAATTTTCACGCGCCCGTATGTGAGTCCCAGGCAATTCTAAGAAGCTGAATTTGAAATATTTTGGTCGTACATGAATGGGGAGCAGTCCCCTAAAGTTTCAGCTTTTTGGCTTTCTTCGTTCCCGGGTTAGTTATTTTCCCGTCAAGATTTCCACGTGCCCGTACGTCTGTCTCAGGCGCCTCTAAACAACTGATTTTGGTCGTACATGAGTAGGGAACATTCCCCTAAAGTTCCAGCCTTCTAGCTTTTTTCATTTCCGGGTTAGTGATTTCCCCACCAAAACTTCCACGTGCTCGTACGTGAACCCTGGGCAGTCTTAAACAGCTGAATATGAAATCTTTTAGTCATGCATGGGCACGGGGCATTCCCCTACAATTTCAACTTTCTAGCTTTCCTCTTCCAGCACTTTTCCCGCCAAAATTTTCACGTGCCCGTACGTGAGCCCCGAATAGCTCTAAGGAGCCGAGTTTGAAACATTTTGTTCGTACGTGAGTAGGGAAATTCCCCCAAAGTTTCAACTTTCCCGAGTTATGAATTTTCCCGCGATAATTTTCACGCGCCCGTACGTAAGCTCCGGGCAGTCCTGAGCAGCTGAATTTAAAATATTTTTGTCGTACAGGGGTAGGGGACATTCCCCCAAGGTTCCAGCTTTCTAGCTTTTTTCGTTCCCGAGTTAGCAATTTTCTCGCCAAAACTTTCACGTGCTCGTACGCGGGCGCAGACGTGCGTGAGAGTTGATATCGCAGTCCTGAGATGGCACTTGGCTGGGGAGCACACTGGCAAAATTCCAGCTTCAAAGTTTGTGTGGTTGGCGAGTTGAAATACCTGGACAGACGAACACACACACACACACAAACGTACATACACACAGACAAGGTCGTTGCAATATGCGTTTTTGCTGCCTGTTGCAGCGCTCTAGCGCTGCACGG